GGTAGGGCGGGGCCATAATAGGGAATTTAAGTTTTACATTGAAATATATAGGAAAAATCTTTAAAAATCTTCTTCTCAAGAACCACTGGGCCAGAAAAGCTGAAAATTATGTGGAAGCATGCTGGTGTAGTGTAGATTCTAAATTGTTCAAATCATGACCCCCGGGGGTAGGGTGGGGCCATAATAGGGAATTTAAGTTTTACATTGAAATATATAGGAAAAATCTTTAAAAATCTTCTTCTCAAGAACCACTGGGCCAGAAAAGCTGAAAATTATGTGGAAGCATGCTGGTGTAGTGTAGGTTCTAAATTGTTCAAATCATGACCCCCAGGGAAAGGGCGGGGCCATAATAGGGAATCCAAGTTTTACATTGAAATATATAGGAAAAATCTTTAAAAATCTTCTTCTCAAGAACCACTGGGCCAGAAAAGCTGAAACTTATGTGGAAGCATTCTGGGGTAGTGTAGATTCTAAATTGTTCAAATCATGACCCCCGGGGGTAGGGCGGGGCCATAATAGGGAATCCAAGTTTTACATTGAAATATATAGGAAAAATCTTTAAAAATCTTCTTCTCAAGAACCACTGGGCCAGATAAGCTGAAACTTACTTGGAAGCATCCTGGGGTAGTGTAGATTCCAATTGTTCAAATCATGACCCCTGGGGATAGGGTGGGGCCACAATAAGTACTACAGGGGGGGGGGAGAAATCAGGTGAAAAACAGCAAGGCCAAAGTTACTCAGGTGAGCACTGTGGCCCATGGGCCTCTTGTTTTTTTTATTAGCTCACCTGAGTGAAAGGCTCATTAAGTGAGCTTTTTTGATCGAAATTTGCCCATTGTTAGTAGCCGTCCTTTTAGGCATTGTCTTAAACTTTTCACATTTTTCATCTTCTTCTCCAGAACCACTGGGCCAATTTCAACCAAACTTGGCACAGAGTAACTTTGGGGAAAGGGGGTTCAAATGAAGTGTCACACCCTCTCCCAAGGGGAGATAATAAAGGAACGGTGGAAATTTAAAAATCTTCTTCTCAAGATCCACTGGGCAGGAAACGATGAAACATAAGTGAACTTTTGAGGTAGTATAGATTCAAGTTTGTTCAAAACATGACCCCAAATGAATTCCCATCGATTTTTGTAAAAATGTTATGTATGCACCTTTAATATCACTGACTTCATTGTTAAAATTAATGAATTCAAGTAAATTTTAAGAAGTTAGATACTTATCTTTGCTCGTCCCTTTCAGTTTTTAAAAATTTTATTAAAAAGCATTTGAGCTTCAATCATCACTGTATATGCATGAATTTAGAGTTACTTCCTGTTTGTATTAGCTAGTTTGTATGAATAGCCAATTCAGGGTTGGTCCTATTTCTAGCGAATGAAACCTAAGGTGAAAAAATTGCAAGATTAACACTGCATGCTTTCAGAGAGTTAAAATATTTATTTAGATAAATTTAAATTATGTGTATGATTAAAACAATTAAAAATGAAATATACTTTAGTTATTAACATATGTACAGTATTTCTTTCAAAAAATATTTTTCAACACTCCCACGTGGCGAGAACTGCTTGGAAGAAGAAAAAAGAAAACCTCAATATTTTATCAATACAGTGTTGGTACTGAATCAAATATTTTGCTTTCATCCTAGATATCCAATCAATTATAAGCAAATATAGGCCTGTAAGCATTTTTTTTTCTCTCTAGTTTCATCGTAATTTTTCGCCATGTCTCAAAAAATTCTACGAATGAAATGTCAGTCCACTTTATAATCCTATTGTACTCTGAAGCGAAATTTACTTTAAAAAAAAAAAAGAGAGAAGAAAGTTATTATACATAGCATGATATATTTTACTGAATCATTATAAGATAAATTTATTTTTCATGTGTGTGAGGAACAGATATTTATAACCAAGCTATTTTTTTTGGACCGATACGGCTTCTTTATGGTGCTTTTATATGTGCGGTAAACATCAAAAGACCAAAAGTTATTTTGCTGGTCACCGGGGGTGCCAAACAAGGTGCACAAGTTATGTACACAAGGACTAGTAACTAACTGTCAATCAATTTCAAGCACCCAATGTCAGATGGACCTTAATTCACTTGATTGACGGGGGGAATACAGACCAGGTAATTCTGAAGGCGGTGCTTATTATTATCACCAGTGAAATGGCTCCCATTTCACTTTTGATACTTATTTTAATATATTTTATAATTTTACTTAATAATTTTAATATCATTCATAAAATTCATTTACTTTGATAAATTCTTGATATCCTAAGTTATTTGTTCACAAGTAATGAAACTAAACCAACACATTTTACATCTGCCTAATTCTTAATCCCCAGAAATATTTAGTGCTTTCTTAGCAATTGTAAATCATTTACACTCATACTGCCTGATGGCAATGGTCACTGATTAGGTGTTAGATTAATTAAATAAATCTTCTTTGACTTCCTGACATCAAAGGATGACACTTGAGTATTCTATTTTTCAGATTACTTAGTTGACAAGTTTTGGCCTTTGGCTATATTTACATTGAGTAATTTCTTACAATTAGTTAAAAATATATATTTGAGAATACAGAGAGTTAAAAGAGATCTAGAGTGACAGAGCTAGAGAGTTGATGTGTTAAGCACCATGTAGGGAATTAGACTAAGAAACTTTTAAGATTCTATTTCTATTTAGGCCAGCTTTATCTAAATTTTAGTTAGGACTTGGGCTTGCATCTTTAATTATGTTTTTATGTTGTTTGGAATTCACTGTTACTTTAATAAACTGTCATTGTTACCCTACAAATTTGGACTTATGTGCTTCCTAACATTCCCCAAACCCTAAATTGAGCTAAATTCCACAATTAACGTGCACCGCCGAATTATGTCCCAGACATCCAAGAGCGCGGTCACATTATCTTGGGCTTTAAACAGCTAGTGCATTTTGGTATGAATTGTTACCGACAATGTCTTATATATTTACTGTCCATACCTACAGTTGTATCATGCCTATAGTTAACTGTCAGGTGGTATTAATATAAGTATCACCTGTACAAATTAGCTGTGTTATCAATTCCTGATTTTGATTGTAGAGAAATTTTAAGAGACATTTTACATGTTGTATGCACCTGCATCACAATAATCACAAGACTGTACTGGTTAAACTCGGCAATCACAGGGATGTACAGTACTGGTAAAACTCGGTTATGAAGAAAATCACCAGGACTTCAATATTAACATGATTGATATTTAAGCATCTTCAGGTAGTGCAGTTTAAAATTTGCTGAAATCATGACCCCAGGGGATAGGTTGGAGCCACATTAGGGGATGAAAGTGTTAAACAGAAATATTTTGAGAAGAAGATCTTTAAAATCTTCTCAGGACAAGAACAAGAAGGCCATCCAAATTTGTATTGTTAAATCATGTTGATCACTTAGGGGTATAGTAGGGCCACAATAGGGGCCCAAAGGTTTTTGCTAAAATATAAAGAAATTTAAATGTAAACATGAGTAGTAGTATGTTACTTTAAGTCCCAATTAATTGTCTTGTTTTGATATGCAAAACAGTCTCAAGTTGTGTGGATACAAGTCTCCTTGTTTTTATCAGTGCCCCTTTGGTTAGGGTGATTCACTGGGGCTAAAGTAAAACTTTGCTGTTTAACAGCTAGTTGTGTGTACTGAGATAAATCGAAACTGAATTATTCTTGTATAAAATATCTGTGTATCATTCAGGTTGATTTAATTAAAATGACTCATGCTCTTAATGATCTGGTAGAGAGACTTGTAGATTAATTAATAATTAAAAGGAATGAAGAAATAGGATTATCTGTTTTTGTTTTTACCTTCATACAAGTACTCCTCACGATAGCTAAATCTATAATGATTTTTTGTCCCCCGCTTTTGCGAAAGCTAGGGGACATTAAATCTCATTCGTCTGTCAGTCTGTCCTTTTGTCAGTCTGTCCGTCAGTCTGTCACAAAAACTTCAACCTTGGTCATAACTTTTGAACGAGAAAAGATAGGGCTTTCATATTTCACATGTACATTACCTGTGACAAGACCTTTCCAAATATACTTTGACTTTTGAGCTACCGGTACTTTTCAAAAATTTTAATATTACTTAAAATTGGTCAAAACTTTTGAAAGAGAAAAGATAGGGCTTTCATATTACACATGTATATTACCAGTGGCAAGACCTTCCTAAATATTCTATGATTTTTGACCCCGTGACCTTGGAGTTTGACATACTTTTAAAAAATGTAATCTTTGCTTTTGATTAAAAAGAGATAGGGCTTTCATATTTGACATGTGCATTACCTGTGACAAAGCCTTTTCAACTTTGGTTTTTGACCCATTGACCATGACCTTGAAGTTTGACATACTTTTCAAAAATTTTAACATTACTTTGAATTATCATAAAATTTTAATGAAAAAAGATAGAACTTTCATACGGCATGTCTACATTACCTGTGATACCGTCAACGGTAGCTCAGTCAGTAGAATGCTCGCTTCGTGATCGGAAGGTCGCGACAGACCTAAGTCAGTAAAAAATAGGTAGCAACTGTTCCTTCACCAACCGCTTTGCACTTTCTCGATAAAGAACCCTCACTGCTTAATGGCCCTAAGTGCCAAGTAAAGGTCTAAATTTGAAGCCCTTCACCGGTATATGGTGACGTCCCTATATGAGTGAAAAATTCTCGAACGGGACATAAAACAACATACAATTCAATAAATCAATCATTACCTGTAATAAGACCTTTCCAAAAATACTACGGTTTTTGACCCCGTGACCTTGACACCAAAAGCGTGGGACCGCAATTCTTTGCTTGTTTATTTCGTTTTTTCAAATGTTTCAAATACTTCTCTTTTCTCTCTCTATTTCATGTTGCAAATGCTGAGATGCTGCTCTTTCTTCCTTAGCTATTATTAGAACCTGTAGAATAGATGAAGTGAATTCAAACATTTTCCTGACATTTCAAGCTTTAAAATCCTTTACTAATCTTTTGAATTTCTTTTCAGGTTTCAACAATAAAAGAGAAAGAATGTATCGGAATCCTTGATAATGAAAAAAATTTGTCTTGGATTGGTAAGTATACGGAGTTAGAATATCAATTGGTCAATAATAAATTGCTTGGTATAACATATTCTGAACGAAAGTGGAAGGAAAAAAATCCATATTCCTTTTTGGATTATTGCTTGGAAACGATCTTCAAAATGGTTGCATTCCTAATAATTCTGAATTAAACATGCTCTAAATCTGAGATGAATTAATGTTGATATTTTTTTTATCATAGTTTTCAGATTAATTTGAGAGGCAATTGAAGACCTGGAAATATAGACAGAACTTGATACATATTGACAAAATAATTAAAATATGTTTTTTGTTTTCCTATTCATTAAGCCCAATCAAAAAGAAAAATAAAATCTGAGCCATAAATTTAATTGCACAATTTCCCTTTCTCTTTAAATTTACCACTGACAGGCAAAAAATTGTTTTTTTAACTGGGCTGTCATCTTTATAGTAACATTTTCTGTGTCTTTTTTTTTTTTGGCCCCCAAGAATTCTATAACGATGTCATTTCAGCTCGCATAGTTTAAGCAACATTGGCAATGTTTATGAGTCAGAGAAGACCTATTGATTTTTGCTGGTTGGTGACCAGGCAGATAGCAGAAGAGGGAATCGTAGACTATATTGGCTACAGAATCACATGGACATTATATACACACTGACGATCACATTGTTACAGCCTACCGATCAGCAAACCACGTGCAGCTTCAGATAACAACACCATTGGATCAAATTCTGTCAAGAAGTGATGCTTCGATATTACTTCTCTTTTTCCGATTGGGAATAATCCTGCAATTTTTTCCGGGAGTCATTAGGATTTTCACACTTGTTCCGTAAGTTTTATTTTAACTGTCTTGTTCTGTTTTCGATTCTTCAAGTAATGAAAAATGGTAATTATTATGTCAATTGTTCAAGCACCATGTCAAAGTACATAAATTATTAATCTGTGCAATTATATACACTGCAGTTTGTTGAATCACTGAATCATATTGAACCGCTCCAGCTATAATTATGGAATAATCCTGATTTTTTTTTATTGAATAACAGATACCTGAATTTTGTACTTGTCGTTATTAAGTACATGCACTATCAATGCATACTGCAAACTTGTTGAATCAATGAAACTTGTTGCATTGTTATGGTCAGAATAATTCATATTAATACCTCTTTTAGCTGGTGCTATCATATTTAATATTAATGCATCAGCTGGTACAGTAATTGATGTATGCATAAGTTCAAAGGTTTTCCCATACAGAACATATGGCATGTCTAACCCAACTTATGTTACATTAAACTTTTGGTTACAAATTTCTTTGCTAGTGGTAAATCATTCAGTGCTCTATAATAGGCAATGCAGTTAATGTTATTAATAGAAAGAATTTAAGTCGCAAAATAGCGTAATTTCCCAAAATTTATTTCTAAAAGGTGAAAATTGGGCAATTAATATAATGCCAGGTTTTGTACTCGGAAAAGTTCAGTTGTGTGCATGCAACAGAAAAAAGCAAAACTTAATTGTATGTATATTATTAATACATACACATATGTTTTGTAAAGATCAAATGAATGCTCAAAAAATACAAATATCTTTTTAACTGATGCTTACTTTTCATATTTGAAACTGCAAAAAAGTCCTTATTGAAGCATTTTATAAAGAAATTTTATAAAACATCTGTCATATTTTAATGTCACAGTCTGTGAATTCCAATGATTAAAATAATAAATTTTGTTACCAATTTCTTTTCAAATTTAAATTTTCATTTCTAAAAGTAACAATTATTCATGGCAGATTTAAATTCAGTAAGTTAGATAAGCAGATAATTCTTCAACATTTTATGGAAAATTAACAGCTAGAATTTAGATACCAGAAGAAACAACTATTTTTAAGCCAGAAAAATTGATAATTACAATTATCAATCAAGAAGCAAAATAATGAATATTTTACTCTTTAATATATACACTGTAATATTTATACAGTAAAAATGGATGCAAGTCTGCTGAAATTTGCTTCTTACAAAAATGTGTAAAGGTAAAGCATGTCACATACATTGTATTTATAGAAAACGTAAAAAAATAAAAGAAAAAGAAAACAATTTAAATGTATAGCAATTTGGTATTTGAACAATGATTAAAACTTTAATCAATCAAATGAAAATAAGATGGACTATAGAAATTGATATATATATATATATTATTTTAGGTTGAGTCTTTTGTCCATAATAGGGGATGGGAATACTTAATTGATAAAAACATTTTAGTTATGCATGAGAACTGTACGTCACAAGGTTTTTCAAGAAAAAAAGGAATGTACATATTGATATTGTGACACTTCAGTAAAACTTGTTTAGTACGAACATGGATATAGCGAATTCACGGATAAATTGAAGTTTTTGGGAATCCCCGGCAAAATTCCTAACAAATCCTAGGAAAATATTACAGTTATAACGAATTCTGATATAACGAATTTATATTTATAGCGTACTGATTTTGTGTCCCATAGAGGTTAGAGATAACGAAAATTACATCTTTTATAAATAACGAATTTTTAGTATCTTAAAATTCAATATTTATCTGACATTATTTTTCATCAGTAGTAATACATGTGTATTTAAAATTCAATTTATTAGAAATCTTTAGTACCCTAAGGAAAATTTTGTACTTAATTAACCTCCCAGTACATATTTGGTAGTCATATTTGAGGGGGAAAAATGCATATGGCAAATTCGTTATATATACTTTAACGAATTTGTTGTAGGAATATAACGAATAACGGATATAGTGAAGTAAATTCACAGGTCCCAGAGACTTCACTATAAGTGTTTTTTTTCTGTATCTTGTACATATTCTTACATGTATTCAATGCAAAAATGGTTAAACAAGGTTTTTGAAGTTTGAATTAAATATTCAGTGAATTTTAGCACGTAATAAGCAAACATTGTAACTAAAAGGAAACAAAGCCAACATATTAAAGTTGAATTATTTTGTGTAGACACTGTAATTTCTTTTTTAATATCCTAGCTGCCACATCTGTGTCATGTTTGGATGTTTTATAGACTATAGACGATAAGGGCCAACTAACAACTAAATTGTATGACAAACGAGATGACTTCAACTTTTCCATTGTCAACTTTCCTTATCTATATAGTAACATGCTATCTATATCTAAAATTATCTATATAGTATCCTGCTATCACCTGCATATGGTGTTTACATATCCCAACTTATTTGATACTCAAGAGCATGCTCTGAGTATGATCAATTTTTAAACCAAGTCAGGCTATTGACAGATATTAAAGTTGATGTTACAGGGATTTCAACAGCCTTGTTTAAAGTCAGCATTTCATAAATTTTATGGTCATTATAACGATCATGTTGGCAAATATAACCTATCATTGAGTTGTATTTTGGCTGACTTGTTTCATATCAATTGTTAGGCCTTTGTTTTTATACTGAATTTGACTACGGAATGTTCCGTATACCTAATCAATACATAGGGCTCACGGCAGGTCTGACCGGTCAACAGGGGATGCTTACTCCTCCTAGGCACCTGATCCCACCTCTGGAATTTCAGGGGGTCAGTGTTTTATGCCCTCTTCATGGCATTGTATTGTTTATAGATTTTTTAAGATTGATCACTGTTCGTTATCTTCACCTTTTCATCCTTAATGCTGAATTGGTTTATAATAAAAAAAAATTAAATGAAAAGTATTCCAAATAAGCTATGAAGTGATTGTTGTTTAGGTGCGACATCATTATAACAAAAAAAGATTTTATCATTGCGTATCAATCTGAAGTGTATCTTCCAGAAGTAGAACTGTAGAGGCTTTTGGTCAGCAGCCTTGTTTGTTTATAGATTGATTTTCTCTCTTTGTGCACACTTCAGCTCTCTTTATTGAGCAATTAATTGTCCATTATCAGATGATCAGAAAAGAAAAGTACCTTATAGCAAGTTGTAAAAGCAGATCCAACATATTTTCTTTGTCAATTCATGATGTGGATTAGCAGGACAAATGCTATAAAAATGGACAGTTTTGAAAATCTTTAGAAATTAATCATGATTAGGGTTTTTCAAAATGTAAAGTTTTATATACTAGTCTGGATTTTGTTTTAAATATATATATTAATGAAATTACAATTTAAAATAATTAGAATCAGTCTAAAATTATATTATAGTAGTTTTTACAAATGTTGTGAGTCCTTCTGATGAGACAGTATAAACTGAGGTCCCGTGTTGCAGTAGGTGCTGGCATGAAAAAGATCCCTCACTGCTCAATGGCTGTAAGTGCCGAGTATAGGACAAAATTTGCAGCTGTCCACCGGCAAATGGTGGCATCTTCACATTAAAGGCCCTTTCACAATTGGCGCACGAGTAGACGCGACAAAATATTCGTGCGACCAAAAAAATTTGATTTGGATCGTAAACCGTTGCTGAAATAATCGCATATGAAAAAGTGTTCATAAGAAATTCGTAAGATCTAAAGCAACCATTGTGCGATGCAAATGCATTAAATCTTGCGATATATCTTGTGTCTATATGAGACTGATATACAACGAAAGCGAGTGTTGTAAGATAATGCGATAGGATCGCACGAGTGATCAGGTGATTGGACGATTGAACGTGCGCCAATGCAATTGGACATGCGGCGCTCATGTGATCATGCGTTCCATGGTAGGTTTGCTCATTCGAGTGCATTTAGGCAAAACCCATCAGCCACGCATTTCTAAATTTAGAGAACCCGACACAGTGCTGTGATTTTTCTTATTTCTTCAAATATTGTTATCGTTTAGAATGTGTGTAATTAATTATTGACTGTATTATTATGACAGCAAAGTGTTTCTTCGGTTTGATATCGTATTGGTATATAAATATAATATATATGGTGTATATATATTATATTTGCATGGCAAATGGAAGCTGATAAATCGTGCAATGATAGTAAAAAATTGCAAGATTATATGAGACACGTTGAGCAACAGTCTCATGGTCGCAAAACACTGCTCTGATTTATCTTACGACCTTTAAAAATCATGCATCACTCTTATGAGTACACAAAACATTGTAAGACGTTCGTACTAATGTTCATGTGTTGCATTGTGATAATTTGGATCGCATTTGGTTGCGTCTGAATTAAGTGTGCATGTCCACTATTTTGAGGAGACTTGATGTGACCACTAAAACGCATGCAATGAATGCAAGACATCGTGCAACATATGCGAGAGCTCGTGTGATGCTAAAATATTCCGATCACAAAGTGTTGTAAAGTGCTTGTGTGCCAATTGTGAAAGGGCCTATATGAGTGAAAAATTCTCGAGAGGGACATTAAACAACATACAAACAAACAAACAAACAAATGTTGTGAAAAAGTTGATCATATTGACAGAAGTATATTTTCATGAAAGACGAAGAAATTTGTTATCTCAAAAGATGTCCGCGGAATTTTGATTTAACCACGTTATCCCAAATATGAGAGAGAGAGGATGAGGGTGACAATGCAAGGAAGTGAAAATGATAAAGTGAGGGCTTGAGGATGTTAGAATGACAACACAAGGGTAACAAACAAGGGAGCAAGAAAAAAGAATGGCAAAAACCAAGGTTTTAAGACTCTAACAATGTGAGAATCAAAAAATCAAATTGATCTACAGCAAAATGTTAGAAATGTGAGAAAATGTTAAAAAAAGAAAAATGTGAGAAAATTTTAAGGGTGGGAAGGATAAGAACTTAAGTATCGTCTCTCCTTTATCTTTGTCCCTTGCCCTCATTTTAATGCCCTCACGTTGTTATCAAAGGTGTCATAGTAAATATAAGTATATTGTTGCCCTCAGTCTTTGACATTGT